CTCTCCCATGTCCCCCAGGAACTGTCGGTCCCGTTGTTTTCTCCTACAGATTGTTCATTCAGCCTCTCTTATTTAGACAGTCCTGCAGAGATCATAACATGCACAAAAAAGACAGAACCAACCAAGCAACAAAAGAATACATAACAACAACCAAAAAAGCAAAGCTTGTAGTTAGTTCAATGCCTGCTTGTTGGCCTTTAGGAATGTTTTCTGGTCAAATCTGATGGGATTCCAAGCCCTGACCCCAACGTCTATTTTTGGTATTCCTTGGGGACATTGTTGCTCTGTTCTGTTGCATGCCCTTAGTGTTTTGCCTCTGTGTGGTGGGATCAGATTGGGTGCAATTCCCACAATGTGTCTCCAGTATTGTCCCCTGTAGGGCTATGGATCAGTGAGGGATGTTGTGTGTTATAGTGGGGCCGGCCATATGGTCTTCTCGGTGGATTGGCTGCTCTGAGTGGGAATGTCGTCGTCAAGACCTGGTGGCCCAGGATGTGCTCCACTCTCTCTTTCTTCCCCTTCATGTGCTCCCATCAGACATGTCCCTCTCCCTGAGCTGCAGCTTCAGTGCTGTCCACTGAAATAAATTCTTCTGGGGGAGGGGCAGCTGTCCACATAGTAGGGATTGTATCTGGCCTCTCAGACCTCTCCACTGGCTCCCTACTCCATGCCGGCATGTTGCTTTCACATCTTGGAGCACCGGATTGAAGTCTGGTCCCTCTCTTTGCCTGTGGAGATATAAACAATACCCTCCCCTTGGGTGGGTTAGTGCCCTGTTCCCCCGCTACCCATTTCTTTTTTATTTTTTTCCTTTCCCCCCTCCTTTTTAGTTGTCTACCATATGTATTCCTGATTTGGTCTGGCCCCTACCATACTACCTGGTCCTCACCCCAGGGTGACTCCCACTTTTTTATAGAGAGACAACACCTACCTTCTTCTACCAGAATGTGTGAGGTGAGAGATCTTAAAACAGAAGGTTTTGATAAAATCCTCTATCTTCTAACGTTATAACCAAATGTCCACATTTCAGCTAGAAATCACCTGTCATACCAAGAACCAGGAGATTTTTATTTGAATGGAAAAGGACAGTTAACAGATAGCAACATTGAAATGACATGGATGCTAAAGCAGCCATAGTAAAACTAACAATCAGAAACATAATTGAAACTCTCAGCAAAGAATAGGAAGTAGAAGCATCGAGTGGAAGTATTTTTTTTTTTAGTGGAAGTATTACAGATGAAAAAATAAATATTCAAATAAAAAGCTCAGTAGCTGGACTAATAGCAAAAGGGGGACTTGAAGAGAGAATTGATATTCTTGAAGATACTATAGAAAATTCCAAATCTGAACAACACAAGGAAAGTAGATTGAAAGGAACAGTACTCACGGACCAGTTCTAATATGTATGTCACTGGAGGCTCAAAGAAGAGGAGACAGAGGGTGGGACTGAAGATGTAGTCAAAGAAATGATGGCCGAAAAATTCCAAAATTGGGCAAAAGACACAAACCTACAAATTTAAAAATCTGAGTGAATCTCAAACAAGATAAATCCAAAACAATGTGCATCGATCACATTATTACCAATTTTCTTAAAACTAAAGACAATGTGCATCGATCACATTATTACCAATTTTCTTAAAACTAAAGACAGTCTTGGAAGTAGCACAAGAGGAATGATGTGTACAGAAGAAAAACAATTTGAGTAGCAGTGGATTTCTTGTATGAAACTAGGGAGACCAGAAGGAGATGGGGGTCACACGTCCTTCAAGGATGAAGGGAAAATTAAAACATTCTCAGATGAAGGAAAGCCCAGTGAATTTATCACCAGGAGGCTTACTCTTTATACATGGCTAAAGGAAATTATCCTTTTTAAAAAGGTACTCTCATTACATCAGGAAGACCATGAGAACGAAAATAGGTGTGCGCACATGTTTACAACAGCTTCTCCTTCTCTTAGTTTTCTAAATTGTTTAATGTTGGAAGCAGAAAATATTAATATGGGTAGACAAAAATTATGAAAGCATGTAGTGATTAAAAAGCAACATATTCTAACTTGTATACACACTACCTTAAAAGTTATATTTGACCAAGTCTTATGGTGAATTGGATACCCAAATCACAGGATATTTATAATTGTACACTAAATTCTATATTAGTGTAACTATTTGCATGTGAATCATTATTGTTTAACATATTCTTCATTATAATTTTTATAGAGAACATGCTTAGGATCTTAAATTATTTACAACTCCTATAAAGGAAGAAACAATTTCATTTGAAAGCATATTGCTTTTGAGAATAAAGTACATTCCCAAGCATCCATAAAGTGTTTATTTTAGGCTTTTACCATACCTAATTTAAAAAGACCTACAGACTTATGTGACACCCCACGTTTAAAACAAGCTGTCCAACCAGAACAAACCAATAAACGCAAAATGTGTTCTGTTCAAAGACAATGCTGACCAGTTTAAAATAAGCAGCTGTCATTGAAAACCATAAATAAGATAATCTGATGTTTCACTAGGTAAAAATTACTTTTCTTTGTGAAAACATGCACAAATTTGTAACATGGCACATTGATGCAAGGAAGACAGGCCAAGACTTCTTACTACAATACATACTTAGGAACTCCTAAAATCGTTCTGTCCTCTAGGCAATTCCCACTTACGGTGAACCTATATAGTTTCCAAAGCTTGAAATCTTTATGGGAGCAAAGCGCTTCAACCTTATCCCATGGAGTGGCTCGTGGGTTTGAATGACTGACCTTTCAGTTAGCTGGCAGTCCAATCCTTATTTAGAATCTTTAGATCTAATCTACAGTCTACAACTCTTCTAATCTTTTTTTTTATCATTTTATTAGGGGCTCATACAACTCATCACAATCCATACATACATCAGTTATGTAAAGCACATTTGTACATTCATTGCCCTTGTCATTCTCAAAACATTTCCTCTCCACTTAAGCCCCCGGCATCAGCTCATTTTCCCCCTCCCTCCCAGAC